GACAGAGCTTCGCGAACGCGAGGCTTTTTACGCGAACGCGAAGTAGGAAAATGAGGCGACCATCAGAGACACTTCGCGAACGCGGAAGGTGATCCGTGAACGCGAAGGAGGATATCAGATACCAGAAACAGCAGTTCAAAAACAAGGGAAAATGGCCCGTAGCCCACTCGAAACATACCCGAGGCCCCCGGGACCCCGTCTAAACACATAAACAAGTCATATAACCTAATACGAACTCGCTCGAGGTCTCAAATCACATGAAACAACGCCGAAACATCAAATCACACCAAGAATCGAACTTAGGAACTTTCAAACCTTCCAACTTCCAAAACTCCTACCGAAACCTATCTAATCAACCCGGAATGACGCCAAATTTTGCAGACAAGTCCAAAATGACATAACGGAGTTGTTCCAACTCTCGGAATCGCATTCCGACCCCGATATCATAAAAGTCAACTATGGGTCAAACTTTCTCCACTTTCCAAACTTCAACTTTTCCAACTTTTGCCGAAATGCCTCAGTTTACCCTACGGACCTCCAAATATGAATCCGGATGTGCGCCTAAGTCGCGCGCCTAAGTTCAAAATCACCATACGAAGCTATTGGAATCATCAATAATTCATTGCGGGGCCGTTTACTGAAAAGTCTAATTCCGATCAAATTCTCATCGCTTAAACTCCCAAAACTAGATTCCTTCTTCCAATTTGACTCTGAATCATCCGTTAACTGAATTTAACCATGCATGCAAGTCGATACTCATATTATAAAGCTGTTCCAGACCTTACGCTGCTGAACAGAGCTTAAATTCTCAAAACGACTGGTCAGGTCGTTATAGTTAATGACTGGGTCCTGGATTTAATATTTATGTTAGTATCTGTATTCAAAAATATAATTTCTGCAAAATAAAATGAAACTAGAAACCAAAGATAAAAATAGAATGAAATCAATAACTTTTCGAGCCCAACAGAAAACTGTGTTTCCTTTTGGAATTTAATCCCCTCACTATTGCTCAAGGTTGTTGGATTAATTCCTCCCAGGATAGAACTGAATAACTATTCCGTAATACCGGCAATAGAAATTACAGAACTTCGTCGAACTCAACAAACGGCAATAAACCACACTGATGCTTACGTTTTTGCTTTTGAAAAACAAATGCAGAAATGCAGAAGAGAGAGGGGAGAGCATGCAAATTTCGGTCGTCAGAACGTGAGACCAAACCTTTGAATTTATAGCCAAATAGTGTGGGTTGAATAGGTGCGAAAGTACCTCTTCACATGAGGTACTGTTTCGGTAGAAAAACTTTTCTGTTTGATCGCGAATTTTAAATTAAAAATCGATCGTTAGTCGTTAGGAAATTATTCGCGAATTAAAATTCGCGCGTGAAATATGAGGAAAAAGAAAAATAAATAACAGGAAATAAATTTGGTCCAAAATATTATCAATTACTCATATCAATTGACTGAAGTCGAAGTCGAAGTCGAGCCGAGCCGAGCGAGCGACGACGACGGCGCGAGGCACCACTTCTTCTTAACTCTTTAAGAGCTAGAAGATGTACTTCTTTATATAAGGACACAGATTTTCTTTCCTTCTTCCGATGAGGGGACAAAGTGCATTAGTAAAGGAAACTATTTCAAACTTTTCGTTTCTCTCCTAATCTCTTCCCTCCATTTCCTATTCACACCTCTTAACTAATCAGATAAAAAATCTAACAATCCCCCACATGAATGGGGAATGGCTATCTGAAAATATGCATGCAAGAAAAACTGTGTGATTTACAAGCAAGGATAAATTGCATCTGGATAAGTAGGTTTCCCTTTGAACTTTACATAGTGAACTTATGTCGGATATACTCGGTCAATCGATAGATTTGATATCTTTGAACCGTTGAACTTTGGTGTATACCTAGACAGTCATAAGTCACACAATCAACCCTTTAGCCGCTTTTAGTTCTCATTGTTGTGTTCGTTTCAGCCATGAACACCGCTTGATTCATAAGTGCGTAGAGAACTGGCCTTACAAAATTCTCCTTGAAGCGGCTTACACTTCACACTTATATAGGTGATTCCTAAACGGGTTATCCCATATATACACTATTCGATATACTCCGTATTAAACTTAGAAACCATTAAAAAGCCTTAACGCTTTATCCTTGGTACCGAACATTGTCTCATCACGAGAATAGACCAAAATTTTATTTGATAATGTTGAACCGTCACTAATGACTTTGTTTGATCTCCTTCAACCTAGATCTTGGGATCTCCAGTCTTCTAGGTAGAGTTACCGCCAAAGTGACTTGTCCTCGGCCATAGTCCCATTCCCTTCGATGATTTATCAACGCATCTCTATTTAGGCCTTTTGTAAGTGGATCTGACACATTATCTTTTGACTTTACGTAGTCAATTGTGATAATTCCACTAGAGAGTAGTTGTCTAACGGTATTATATCTTCATCGTATGTGACGAGATTCTCCGTTATACATAACGCTTCTAGCCCTTCCTATTGCCGCTTGACTATCACAGTGTATGCATATAAGAGCCACTAGTTTGGGCCAAAACGGAATATCTTCCAAGCAATTCCGGAGCCATTCAGCTTCTTCTCTAGCCTTATCTAAAGCTATAAACTCAGACTCCATTGTAGAGCAATCAATGCATGTTTGTTGGGATGATTTCCAAGAAACTGCTCCTCCACCAATTGTAAAAATATAACCACTTGTGGACTTTATTTTTGATGCCCCAGTGATCTAATTTGCATCACTATATCCTTCAATTACCGCAGGATACTTACTGTAATGCAAAATATAATCTTGGGTATGCCTTAGATACCCAAAACTCGTTTCATTGCCATCCAATGAGTTTGGTCGGGATTACTTGTGTAATGACTAAATTTACATACTACACAAGCTATATCAGGACGTGTACAATTCATGATGTATATTAAATTTCCTAACACACGAGCATAACCCAGTTGAGATCTGCTTTGACATAGATTCTTTGTAAGAGCCACATTTACATCAATCGGGGTCTTTGCTACTTTGAAATCTAGATACTTAAATTTTTCAAGTATCATTTTAACGTAATAATATTGAGAGAATGCCAGTCCTTGAGGAGTCCTATGAATTTTAATTCCTAGAATTAAATCAGCAACTCCTAAGTCTTTCATATCATACTTGCTAGCAAGCACAAGCTTAGTAGCATTTATATCTGCAAGGTCTTTGCTCATTTGTAACATGTCATCAACATATAAACATACAATGACTATATGATTTGGAGTGTTTTTAATGTAAATACATTTATCACACTCATTAATCTTAAATTCATTTTCCAACATTGTTTGGTCAAATTTCGCATGCAATTGTTTGGGTGCTTGTTTCAGTCCGTAAAGTGATTTAACAAGTCGGCACACCTTTTTTTTCTTTTCGGGGAACCATGAACCCTTCAGGTTGTTCCATATAAATTTCTTTCTCCAAGTCTCCATTTAAGAAGGTTGTCTTCACATCCATCTGATAGATTTTAAGACCATACACGGCGGCTAACGCTATTAACACCCGAATAGATGTAATCCTTATTACCGGTGAGTATGTATCAAAATAATCAAGAGCTTCTCGTTGTCTAAATCCTTTGACAACTAATCTTGCCTTATATTTGTTAATAGTACCATCAACTTTCATTTTCTTTTTGAAAATCTACTTAGAACCCAAAGGTTTATTTTCTGGAGGAAGATCAACCAATTCCCAAGTGTGACTACTTAATATGAATTATATCTCACTATTGACTGCCTCTTTACAATATTGTGCTTCCGAGGAAGACATTGCTTCTTTAAACATTTGAGGCCCATTTTCTAACAAAAATGTCAGAAAGTCCGGCCCAAAGGAAGTAGTTGTCCTTTGACGTTTACTACATCTTGGATTTTTCTCATTAAACGTAACTTTCTTTTCTTCTTCTCGAGGTCGCTTTTTTCACTAGACAACTCACATTCATTTTTATACGGATAAATATTCTCAAAGAATTCAACATTATCAGATTTGATTACCGTGATAATATAAATGTTGAGATTTTCTGATTTATGAACAAGAAAACGATATGCCTTACTATTTCTTAGATATCCTATGAAAATGCAATCAACCGTTTTCGGTCCAATCTTCACCTTTTTGGGTTTAGAAATTTGCACTTTAGCCAAACACCCCCACACTTTAAAATATTTTAAGTTGGATTTCCTACCTTTCCATTTTTCATATGGAATGGATTGCATTTTGCTATGGGAAACTCGGTTGAGTATTTGATTGGCTGTAAGAATAGCTTCCCCCCCCCCCCACAAGTTCTGGGGTAAACCCGAACTTATCAACAAGGCATTCATCATCTCCTTTAACGTTTCTATTCTTTCTTTCCGTAATTCCATTAGATTGTCGTCAATAAAAGTTATGAAATACTTTTTCCCACCGCGAGATGGTATTAACTTCATGCCGCAAATATCTGTGTGAATTAAGTGTAAAGGATTTGAATTCCTTTCAACTGACTTATAAGGATGTTTAACATACTTGGATTCCACACATATTTGACATTTCAAATTATCGCATTCAAATTTAGGCAATACTTCCAAGTTAATTATTTTTCGTATAGTTTTGAAGTTGACGTGACCTAAATATGCATGCCATAAATCATTTGACTCAAGTAAGTAAGAAGAGGCTTGAACTTTATTGATATCAATAGCTATTACATTCAACTTGAAAATGCCCTCAGTTAGGTAATCTTTTCCTACATACACATACTTCTTACTTATAACAACTTTTTCAAAAACAACACACACTTAAATCCATTCTTGATAAGAAGTCCAGCAGAGACCAAATTCTTGCGAATTTCAAGAACATGAAGAACATTGTTTAGAGTCACAACTTTGCCCGAAGTCATCTTCAAAGCTATCTTCCTAACTCCTTCAATTTTTGCTGTTGTGGAATTTTTCATAAAGATAGTCTCGTCGGGCCCTGCGGGAACATAAGAGGCAAATTACTCTTTGTTAGCACAAAAATGATGAGTGGCTCCAGAATCAATCCACCACTCCTTGGGATTTCCTACCAAGCTGCATTCAGATAGCATGGCACATAAGTCCTTCATTAAATCATTCTTTTCAACCATGTTTGCTTGACTCTTCTTCTGGTCCTTCTTCGGTGCACGGCAATCCACAACCTTATGTCCAACCTTTCCACAGTTATAGCAATTACCTTTGACGTCTTCTTGCTCGGGTAATTCTTTGGACCAGACGACTTCTTTCTCTTTCTATTGCTTGTAGAGGCTTCCTCAATAATATTTGCTCCCATTATTGTAGAGTTACCACAGGACTTCTTCTCAGCAGCCTTGTTGTCCTCTTCAATCCGTAGACGAACAATAAGGTCTTCAAGCGTCATCTCCTTGCGCTTATGTTTCAAGTAATTCTTAAAGTCCTTCCACAGCGGAGGCAGTTTTTCAATAAATGCCGCAACTTGAAATACTTCATTTATGGCAATACCTTCAATCATAAATTTATAATTAGTAAAATAATCAATATCTTGAATACAAATATTGACTCGATTTATACCTTCAGCAAGAAGATCATGAATAATAACTTGCAATTCTTGGACTTGCGTTATGACAGATTTGCCGTCAACCATTTTAAAATCTAGAAATTTAGCGGCCAAATACTTCTTATGTCCAGCATCTTCAGTCTTGTACTTCTTTTCAAGAGCATTCCACAATTCTCTTGATGTTTTCATGACGCTATAAACATTATACAAGCCATCTTTCAAGCAACTTAAAATATAGTTTCTGCACAAGAAGTCAGAATTCTTCCATGCCTCCGTGATCACAAATCGCTCATTTTCAGGAGTTTCCTCTCCTAGAACTGGAACGTCCTCGCTGATAAAGTGCTGTAAACTAAATGTGGTCAGGTAGAAGTACATTTTCTGCTGCCAACGCTTAAAGTCCACGTCGGAAAACTTTCCGGGCTTTTCTGTCGGTGCCATCGCCGGTGCAGGAGTTGTGCGACTTGAAGACGCAGTAGCCATTGCAATAGTAGTCTTAACAAAACCATTCCGTTGTTTCGTACTTGCTGCCATTTTTCTGTAAAAGAAATTGACACAACCAGAATTAGTAAGTCGGTGAATTTCTTATATCTTCAAACCGAATACAAACAACCGAGTAAAAAATCACAAGATTTTAATCTCGGATTGAGTAGAAAGTCAGAAAGACTTTAATCTCAAACTGGAGTAGAAAATCCGAAGATTTTAATCTCCAAAATGGGAGTAGAAAATCACTAGGATTTTAGTCTCCCAAAGCAGAAAATAAGATGAACATAGAATATTAAAAAATAAATTCCTTAAGCTTGTTAGTATCTGTATTCGAAAATATAATTTCTGCAAAATAAAACGAAACTAAAAACCAAAGACAGAAATAGAATGAAATGAATAACGTTTCGAGCCCAACAGAAAACTCTGTTCCCGTAAGGAATTTAATCCCCTCACTGTTGCCCAAGGTTGCTGGATTAATTCCTCCCAGGATAGAACGGAACAATTATTCTGTAATACCGACAATGAAAATTACAGAACTTCGTCGAACTCAACAAACAGCAGTAAACCACACTGATGCTTACGTTTTTGCTTTTGGAAAACGAATGCAGAAATACATAAGAGAGAGGGGAGAGTATGCAAATTCCGGTCGTCAGAAAGTGAGACCAAGCCTTTGAATTTGTGTTTAAACAATCGGGTTGAATAGGTGCAAAAGTACCTGTTCACATGAGGTACTGTTTCGGCTGAAAATCTTTTTCATGAAAAAGAAGAAAAATAAATAACGGAAAAAGAAAAATAAATTTGGTCCAAAAAATTATCAATCAATCAAAGTCGAAACCAAGCGACGACAGTGCGAGGCACCACTTCTTCTTAACTCTATAAGAGCTAGAAGAAGTACTTCTCTGTATAAGCACAAAGATTTTCTTTCCTTCTTCTGATGAGGGACGAAGTGCATTAGTAAAGGAAACTATTTCAAACTTTTCGTTTCCCTCTATTTTCCATTCACACCTCTTATCTAATTAGATTTTAAAAAAAACCCAACAATTTATACATATTTCATTAATATAAATCATCAAATACACTGTTTGAGCAAAAGTTACTAGTTTGGCCAAACTTGTAAGATGGCTTGTGCCTCCGTCCCAGGTTGTAGGATTACACTGGGTTTGTTATGTTGTTATACGCGAAAAGGAAACAAGAACGTACAACCGTTGCTAGTCTAACGAATTGTCATTCCAAGAGCAAATTTCGTAATAGTATTATCTTGCAGGCATTTTCGTTCCTAACCATACAATTTACAGCTAGGAATTTAGGAAAAGTCAATCATTTTATGTCTATTCACATTATTGGCTATCTAGCAATAACAGAGGACCTTGAATGCCTCATGCAGTTTAATAATTGAGTTGGGTAATAAATACCTTTTTGGTTAAAGATCATTCGAGAAAGAAAAGCTCTTGTTGATGATAACCTTTTATTTTAAATTTCTTTGCTTAGCAGTTGAAATTAATTAGTAAAACACGTATGATTGAAGAAAACAAAGTCAAGGTTTTGGGATCCAAAATGTAGAAAAGGAAATTTTGCGTCACCTTAGTAAATGAAGAAAAGGTCTGGACATGCAGATATAAAAATAGCCATAATAATAATAATAATAATAATAATAATAATAATAATAATAATAATAATAATAATAATAATAATAATAATTGAAGAGCGTGAAAATAAAAGAAATCTCAAAATAAGAGGTCCTTCCTGATTTTCCTTCGTTTGTACGTAGCCTGATCTTTTTCTTCTTTTGTACTACTTTCCTTTACTATTTATTACGTATCTCTTAAGTCTTTGATTGAATTATGAATATTTTTTTTGCTTAATTAATCACACACGGGTATGACTAATTCAGATTCACCTTATATATGGTTCATACAATTGAAGCACTTTCTATTAGAATTTTTGAATTCTTAGAACTTGAGGCGAGACCTTTGGATAAGAGTGAAGAGATTCCTATCCGTTCTACCATATCCCCGGGGTGACTTATGAATGGAATAATTTCGTCCATCACCCTAATAACCGTTGCATGAAAAAGATCTTTTAGGATTATGTTAGTGCTTAAGTTGAGGCCATTAATGCCCCTTAATTTGATCTTATCTTAGAATCAAGCTAAGCCACTTTAGGGCTTTTTACTTCAGGAGGCTATAAGTGCAAAGAATCAGAATAAGGACAACCTGTAATCCAGAAACGTTACAGTTGAAAATATTTTCTTGTGGTGATCCTAGTGGAATAATACCATGGCACCAAATTATAAGAGAGTGTATGCTCAAAAGTCAAAACTCAAACTATGATTTGGTTTTCAGTAAAATGCATTAGCTGTTGAATAATGTTATAGCCAGTTCTGTCAACACACGTCGTAGTACTAATATGGTAGCAATATTTCTCTGCAAATTTTCTTGACTACCATGTTCTTTGGTAGAACGAACTAAAGAGCTTACGCGCATGCAATGACAAATCCTAATGTATGCAGGTTCAATAGAATATATATAGAATATATTCTGAATTTTGACATGTACGCACAGTAACAAGTGGACACTCTGATAACTTTGAGTATAAGCCAATTCGCCATGAAAATATAACTAGGGTTCATGAGAACAAAATTGAGAGAGAAAGAGAGCTTCAGATGTTTCTTTTTATTCAAAATGGCAAAACCGTCCAAATGTGTACAAAACTATATTATATATACATTGGGCCAAATGTCTTAAACCCGAAAATTAAAATCCAAAACTTAACAAAATAAAAGCCTATACAATTAACTTATACACAAGTGGGCCTATTTCTATTTCTGTCGAGGCCCAGATGCCAAATAACCTTCAAGTCTAACACCCCCCTCAAGTTGGAGGGGGAAACCACCTGCAACTTGGAGAGAAACTGATGATGAAGCTGCCCAGTTAATGGTTTGGTGAGGATATCAGCCAACTGGTTAAGAGTAGAGACATGAGATAAAAAAATCAGTCCGTCACCCAACTTAGCTCGAATAAAGTGACAATCCACCTCTATGTGCTTGGTACGCTCATGAAATACCGGATTCTTGGCAATGTGAATAGCGACCTGATTATCACAAAATACAGAGATAGGAAGGGAAATAGGAACGTGCAAATCAGAGAAAAGCCGAACTAGCCAAGTCAATTCCGCCACAACTTTACTAATTGCTCGGTATTCAGCCTCAGCCGAAGAAAGGGACACAATGGGCTGCTTTTTAGATTTCCAGCTAACTAAACTATCACCCAAAAAAATATAGAACCCAGTGACAGAGCGTCTGGTATCAACGCAAGCAGCCCAATCACTATCACCGTAGGCAGTCACTTTGAGATCAGGAGAATTGGAGTAAAATAAGCCAACATCAAAAGAACCCTTAAGATACCTCAAAATGTGTAAAGCAACAGACATATGAGAAGGCCGGGGACACTTTAAAAACTGGCTAAGATGCTGGACTGCAAAGCAAATATCAGGTCGAGTGTGTGTGAGAAACAACAACTTACCAATCAAAGACCTATAAGCCTCAGGGTTGTCCAAAATATCACCTGAATCAGCCGACAATTTACCGTGAAGTTCGAGAGGGCACACAACAGAAGAAACATAAGAACAATGGTATGCTGATAACAAATCAGAAACAAACTTTCTTTGGTTCAAAAGAACACCAGAGGAAAAGTAAGAAACTTCAATGCCCAAAAAGTAGTGCAAAGGACCCAGATCTTTGATTCTGAACTGAGTATCTAAAAATTGTTTCAAATCAAGAATATCAGCTGCATCATCCCCTGTTAGTATGATATCATCAACATAAACGGCTAATATAGTCAAAGAACCAGGAGAACCCTTAACAAATAGAGAATAATCATTGACAGGGGGAGAGAAACCCTTAGAACATAAGGCGTGAGATAACTTGGCATACCACTGTCTTGATGCCTGCCGAAGACCATAAAGAGACTTCTGTAATTTGCACACTAGAGGAGCAGAAGAAGAACAACCAGAAACCGAAAGACCATGAGGTAATTTCATATAGACCTCCTCATCTAGATCACCATGGAGGAAAGCATTATTAACATCTAATTGAAACAAGGGCCATTGTCTTTTAACAGCAACTGCTATTAAACATTTTATGGTGGACAACTTCACAACAGGGGAAAAAGTCTCATTAAAATCAACACCTTCCACTTATGTATCACCCCTAATTACAAGTCTAGCCTTATACCTCTCTACACTACCATCAGCCTTGTATTTCACCTTATAAACCCATTTACATCCAATAGGCTTCTTTTCTTTAGGTAACTCTACAATGTCCCAAGTGTGATTAGCTTCTAAAGCCTCAAATTCCTTTCTCATGGCATCCTGCCAAGCTGGAATAGAAGTTGCCTGAGAATAGGTACTAGGTTCAAATTCAGCATGCTTAAGAATAGAAGTAGAACAAGAAAGAGATGAAGGAAAAGTACATTGATAATCTTTCAAATATGCAGGAGGATTATGATCCCTAGTAGCCCTCCTCAAAGATAAAGGGGAAGCAGACTGAGTATTAGAACTAGCAGGAGAAAGCAAAGAAGGTGGAGTAGAAGATGGCATGGGAGAACTTACAGTAGGACTCAAGGAAGAGGAAGCAGGGGACTGAATAGGAGAACTAGCAGGAGAAAGAGGAGAGGGACTATGAAGAAAAACAGGATCAGTAGTATCAGATGGAGGAGAGGCAAAAGAAGGATCAGAAGACAATACAGAAGATGGAAATGGAGAAGGAGAGGAAACAGGAACATTAGGTGACTTGGAAAAAGGAAAATAATTTTCATGGAATACGACATCCCTTGAAACAAAACACTTCTTAATGGCCAGGTTGTATAACTTGTATCCTTTCTTGGCAAAAGGATATCCAAGAAAAGCACAAGGAATAGCCCTTGATTTAAATTTATCTCTGTAAGGTATAGGGACTGTGGCATAACATAAACAACCAAAAGATCGCAAATGAGAGTAAATGGGCACCTTACCATACAACATTTCAAAAGGGGATTTATCATTTAAAAGTTTAGAGGGTAATCGGTTAATAATATAAGTGGCTGTTAACAGGCAATCACCCCAAAAGTACATAGGTGCTTTGGATTGGAACATTAATGCTCTAGAAGCTTCAAGGAGGGATCTATGTTTTCTTTCAACCACCCATTTTGTTGAGGGGTGTAGGGGCAACTTGTTTGATGTATGATTCCATGTTCTGAAAAAAATAATGATGCAAAGGAACTAGACCCCAACTCTAGAGCATTATCACTTCTAATTGTTTGAATGGTAGTGTGAAAGTGAGTTTTGACCATTGCAACAAAAGCTTTTATTAAGGGAAAGGCATTACTTTTGGATCCCATGAGGTGTGTCCAAGTGGCTCGGGTATAATCATCGACGATAGTAAGGAAGTATCTAGCCCCAGAATAAGTTGCAGTATGGTAAGGACCCCAAGTATCAATATGAATGAGTTGAAAGGGTGAGTTGGTACTTATAGTACTATCTGGGAAAGGCAACCTAGTTTGCCTAGACATAGGACAAACATTACAAATGAAAGACTGTTTGGATGACAAAGAATCAGACAAACCAGAAATGAGTTTCATTCTAACAAATGGAACATGTGCAAGCCTTTGATGCCAAACCACATCCATTTTATTCATGTTAGTAGTACTACAATTAAAAGGAATATCACACACATCAGGCAAAATAGAACCAGAATTACAAGTAGAAGAAGAAACACAAGATGGAACAACATTAGTTATGGGAGAAGCAGGGTGAACACAAGATGAGAGAATATTATTTGTGGAATCTAAATTGGCGAAAAGCTGAGAATGAGAGGAAGGCCTTTTCCACACAAGCTTGTACATGCCACTATCCAGTTTACCAAGATCCAGAGGCTTCTTCAGAGAAGGTCCCTGTGGTATAAGTAAACAAGATTCATAAGCGAATAGAACAAAACATTTGAACTGTTGTATAATCCTATGTACAAAGATCAGATTCTGTTGGAAAGAGGGAATATAGAGAATATTGTGAAAAATGAAAGAAGGACTCAAAATAAAAGAACCAGTGCAAGTCACTTTTACTTTATAGCCATTAGGAAGTGATACAAGATAAGGCACAGGTAAAGGAGTAAGGTTTGATAGAAAATCTTTATTAGATGTCATATGGTCGGTAGCACCAGAGTCAACTATCCAGGTTAAATCTATTGATTGTGAAAGCATGCAAGAACTAGAACTAGAACCATTCAGCAGATCATCAGTTAGTAGAGTACCAGCAGAGTTGGCAGAAGCCATCAGATTAGACTGAGGATTAGAATCTGATAAGTGGGACTGTTGCAGTAAAGTCATCAACTGATTGTACTGCTGCATACTCAGACCAGGAATCACGGAACGTGCTCAGGAGAACTAGAGACACCAGAATGATAAGAACCAGCAATGTTATAATATCCACCATCAGAAGACTCAGGTTCAGTAGTAACATTTGTTGCATTTGCTGCAGTTCTTCTACTCTTAGTGAATTTGAAATTAGAGGGAAAACCATGAAGTTTATAACATTTGTCAATCAAATGTCCAGGTTTTTTGCAGTATCTGCAGAATAAAGAACCCCTGGTCTGATCAACATGCATCTTCTGGTCAAAAGCTACCCTTTGGTTGTATTGTTGTTTTGGTGGTGGAAGAAGAGGCTTAGGAAAGTGACTAGCATTTGCATTGAAGGAGGCTGACTCTGAATTGAATTGAGGAGTAGAATTCACATGTCTTTGACTCTCATCTTGGAGTAAGATATTGTAAACAGTATCATGTGAAGGTAGTGGTTGCATCATAAGAAGATTACCCCTAATACCAACATAAGTTTCATTGAGCCCCATTAAAAATTGGTATACCTTGTCTTCCTCTAACTCCTGTTGTAAACCAGATTTAGCAGCACAATTACACGAACTCACACGATTCTTTCGGATGAAAGCCAACTCATTCCACAACTTCTTTAATTTGTTAAAGTATGATGCTATATCAAGAGACCCTTGACAAGTAGAGGCTAACTCTTTTTTAATCTCAAAAACTTTGGTTCCATTTACAGTTCCATATCGTTTTTCAAGTTGGTTCCAAATGCTTTCGGCTGTTTCAGAATATTGAACACTCTCGGCAATTTCAGGTGATAGGGAGCTGGTTAACCAAGACATTACCATATTATTACATCTATTCCAAAGTCGTAATTCAGGAGCATCATCAGCAGGCTTAGAACATGTTCCATCTATAAAAGCTATCTTATTTTTTGCTGACAATGCCACTATCATATTTCTCTTCTAACCCCCAAATCCGATTCCAGAAAATGGAACTTGCACCAAACAAGTACCCGGAACATCAGAGGGATGTATGAATAAAGGACCAGAAGGATCTGGAACATATGTAGAGCTAGCAGGGGTAGAACTAGTTACAGGCATGTTTGACTCAATTGAGAACAAAAATTGTACATTCAATGAGGCAATTGAGGGTTAAAATCACTGAAACCAACAGAGAAAGACTCACACCAACACTGTATGAAAAGGATAGGGTAAGAGGTACCACACTTCTTCGCAACTGGAAGAAGACGGCCTTCAAGGTTAAAACAAAGTTCAGCTGACCTCCTGGAGCTCAGAAACACAAGAAAAATCCACTCGAAGAGTTCAATTTTGGCCAAAACCAAATTCTCGTTCGTAATTGCTCAGAACAAACTGAAGTCCCCGTAAAATATGAGAATAAACCATCCCAGAGCAGAGAATCATCGAAACCACTGTAAAAAAAAAAGAGGCGACACGGAACAGACGAAATCGAAGATGAAGAAAATTTGGACAAAACTTTGTGAGGGTAATATCGGATGAAAGCGGAGGACCAGATCTATAAGAATCTGCGCTCTGATACCATGATAACTTTGAGTATAAGCCAAATCGCCATGAAAATATAACTAGGGTTTATGAGAACAAAATTGAGAGAGAAAGAGAGCTTCAGATGTTTCTTTTTATTCAAAATGGCTAAACCGTCCAAAATGTGTACAAAACTATACTATATATACATTGGGCCAAATGTCTTAAACCCGAAAATTAAAACCCAAAACTTAACAAAATAAAAGCCTATACAATTAACTTATACACAAGTGGGCCTATTTCTATTTCTGCCGAGGCCCAGATGCCAAATAACCTTCAAGTCCAACACACTCAGAATTCACGACGTTTAAATTCTATATACGTCACCACATGCAATGTCCAAGTGAAAAATATAAGTACTTGGTAAACTATAGCTATGGATGCCAAAAAGGTTAAATATATACTCCACTATCATGTGGACGACGATTTGTTTTTAGTTTTTTTTTTACCCCTCCCAATAAGTTTTGTTCCTTTGGTGACTCGAGCCGGCAATCTCAGAGTCGGAAGTGGAAGGTAGTTATGACTTAGCAACCCTCTCATGTGGCCGAGTTTTGGCGTATATAATGAGCTTGCATGAGAACTAGTATGAATTGTGTTCACCAAAAAACAAGCGTTGCTGAGCTCAGCTGGCAATGTTGGCTATTAAGTCGATCTACATCTCTTTTTAATGCACAAGGTGTGGATCACCCTGTCAAACTCCTATTATAGATTTTCAGTTCCACTATCCTTTCCATCCATTTGTTTACATATATTTAGGTGGTTAGAATTATTGGTTCTGTTTTTGATATTTGAGAATGGTTCTTAAAAAGTTTTCAAAGGAATAATTTACCAGAAAAGTTTAATTACATGTATAAATTTGTATTTGAGAATGAGTTTCTTTGAGTAAGATTTTATGTTAGTTTATGCAAAAAATTAATTTTGGGTCGTTTTCATTTCGAAAAGAATTTGTTATTCGAATAAATAAAGTCTCTTTTTAGAATCGCACATTCTTTTAAGATTTTGAAGAACTTCTGCAAAAGGTCTTCAAATTTTGAAAGAGCTATTATTAATTGCAAAGGCAGATGTAGAGTACCGGTTTAATTTCGGATTCATCTGAGCTCAATACCGGTGGCAAATTAGGATTTTCGCTAAGGGGTATCAAAATATAGAAGAAATAAACATACAAAAAAAATCAAAGGGATCGGAGTATAATGCATATAACTTTTTTTTTGCTTATTTATGCAGCGTATTTTTTCCATGAAGGAGTGTCAGTTGACACCCCTTACTATAAGGTAGCTCTGCCACTGCCCAATACTTTCGATGCAGAATATAAAATTTATGTGTAAAATCTACAAAATTGGCAACAAATAATAGATATAATACATAATTTTATAAATATAATGTGTTAATGCTAAGATCATCAAAGGTTGAACCCATAATAATGTGTAAATCCTGAATCCGGTTAATGCCATCTTCAGATGATATATGTATAGCTAAATCGCAAATAGTCGAAAAGTAGAATATTGGAATATAATTTGAATTTATCTCATTTGAATATTATACCATTTATCTCTCGGGACATCCGGTACAATTGAAACAATAATATAAAACTGTAATATTATTTTACATTTGTTTTAAGAGTCAACTTAGCACGATGAACTAAATACACACAGTATACCATATTTGTAAGATGATCGTATTTATTTTTTGTACGTAATTAATAAAACATTGGTTCAAGATTAAAGCAGTTTACAGTTGACATGCTTCATGCTTGGTAGTTGTTTGGTTTGCTTTAATATATGCACCAAATCCAATAGTATTCTGAGAATTTGATAATTAATCACGTTTCCATTTCTCTTTATTCCCTTATATTCTTACTTAATGAATTAGTTGAACGTGCGAATTGCTTGGTTCTCCTGGAAAATTCTTTACACTCTGGAGTAGTTTTGCTTCCTTTTTTCTATATTTTTTTTTTCTCAAAATCATTGTGGAGATGCTTTTGAGCCAGCTTTTAATTAGATTATTGAGGAATTAGAAAGTGCTTTTAATCTTCTGGAAAAGCGAACACGATTAACTAACTAGATTTCTTCTTGATCTTTTTTATTTTAAAATTTTTGACAAAGTGAACAAACTCGAAGAAGTTACGTGGTTGGAATTTATTCTCCTTAGGAGTGGAGTATGGGCTGGCAATGAAAGTTGAAACAAGGTAGGCAACTTCTTTTTAATTTAATTTATTACAATGCGAATAGAGAAATGAAAGATTCAAGTAAAAACAATAATGATTACGAGACCAATGAGATTGGAACTCAATCCCATGGGTATATATTTACATGCATTCGATGATATAGCACCAATCATATAATTTATTTATGTGATAACTGTCACACCTCCTTTTTCCGAAGAGGATAGGGAGTTTTATTAATTAAAGAGACATTAATCGAAATGAGATTATTTATTTAATTTCAGAGTCGTCACTTGGAATAATTTATGGTACCCCAAGTCACCGGTTTATTTTAAATCCCAAATCGAGAAAATTTGACTCTGTTTTAAAGTCCGCGAACACAGAAGACCGGGTAAGGAATTTGTTAACCCGGGAGAAGGTGTGAGGCACTCCCGAGTTTCGCGGTTTTAGCATGATCGCTCAACTATTAATAATTGGCATAATTATCTAATTTTACTACATGTTTAAACCTATTGTGCATTTTTAACTTTATAACCGCTTTTATTTATTTATGGAGTTATTTCTGGAACAAGTCACGATTATCGTACACTTGTAGTTTTGGTACACATTGCAAACCGCGTCACATGAAATGCACCCGCGATTTACAGCATGTTTATTTTATTATTACTATTCGAAGTTGTGGTCGGGTCACATGAAATGCGCACCCGAATTGGGGATTATGTATCATGACAATACTACGGGAACCGTACCCATAGTCACGATGATTTATTTACGCGCCTAAAGCAAACTACGATGTACATTATTCTTGTTCAAAGCCTCACTTTCAAGAGCAAATATGATTTCTTCGACTGTTCTTCGAGAAAACAACGATCAATGATCTTCATCTTGTGATAAGGACTTCCTTCTTTCGACTTTGGTACGTGGGAGAAGCGACTGATGATGGCCGAAATAACACCTGGATCTCTACATCCTTCGAAAAAATCCTTGCTAAATTCTCCCATCAACACATGACAAACCAACCTATACTCTCGGATAAGGCAGCTACCAACTCCTTGCAACTTCCCTTCTCTTATTGATCTTAATAAAATTTTAAGGCTTGTATGGGATGCTTTCTTTAGCGATTGGATGGTAGAAGAGACCCAGTCATCACTCTTCAAATTTGGGATAAGTTTTATTCTTTTTAATCTCAAATAGCAGACATGGTCCATTATTTATTCTGCCTTGGATTCCTTTAACTAAAATCTTATGGCTCAAATGCTAGCAACACATACTTTGCCTTAAATTTATAACAGAAACTAACTGAGATAAATCGAAACAACCAAACTTATCTAAACTTCAACAAATTAATAGCAAAGGAAATAAACAAATCAAAATACGAATATCTACAAGAAATTGAGCAGAGAAACAAACAAAGTATTCAAGGTTTTTAACTAAAATAAAGCAATTAAATGATTTAGCAGAAGCAAACAAACATAATATTCAACTAATCCGTAATAAAGACAAATTGAGAATGGACCTTTATATTGATGAATAAAGCTGAAAATTTGCAACTCAATCGGAATAACAAAGCAACAATTGTTGGACTGAAATGCCGAAATTGTGAACCGGAACCTCAAATCGACACCGGAAAATTCGAAACCCAGACTCGAAGCTAGTGTTCACTCGATTTTTTTTAGACTGAAATTCCCTCCCTCCTACTCTCTTTCTCTCACTGTTGCTGCCCCCCATTTGTGCGTGTGTTTGCCTTGCAAGTCCTGATGACATGCCCAAGCAAAGGCCCTTGCCACTATTCTAGAACCCATAACAATCACATCTGCAAGAATTCTCACACCCTGACTAAGGCGAGGATGAGACAAGTAAGGAGAAAATACTTGAAGGAAATAAGCAATCCATCAAAGAGAGTCTAAAATTTAGTGTGCTGCTTCAGAATGAAGAGAGAGTCAAGGGTCATTTTCAGAATTAGACTCAGCCATTCACAAATGGAGAAAAGCCTTTTTTTTTCAAGAATTTCATAGATTGGAGCGGCCGTTCTCCTTTTTGATCTCTTCCGTTCTTGAGTGTTAGAGATTAGGTCTTCTTTTTTTGATTTTTTCTTTTAGGGAAGTGGGGTAATGGGCTAAGAAGATTTGGGCTTGCCTAGAGAAGATTTGGGTTAAAACGATTTGTGGGGTATTGGGTTATAAAATTGGTCCTTTAATTCTACAAATCTTGCAATTTGGTTAGTAACACTATA